TACCGTATTTACCCGTGTATAATGCGGGCCCGTGTATAATACGAATCCCAATTTCAGACCAAATTTTGAGAAAAAAGAAAAATAAACTACTCAACAAGAAGGTAAAATTGTATAACATTATTTATTTCAATTAACTTGGCAAACTAACGAAATGATGGTTACAACATCTTTCACATATCAAATCCTTCAAACTCGGACTCGGAGTCTGACTGGAACAGTTCTCTTGCAAACGAGTCATCGAGCTCGTTGTTGCAGTCATCGTTGGCCTCGTAAACTAGGTCGTCCTCGGATCCATCAAGGCTGTTGGTGATCCCGCATTTTAGAAATGAGGATTCAATCATTTCTTCGGAAATGTCCTGCCATGCTCCTGCGATCCACGAAAGGATCAGTTCCTCGGATGGTTTCTTTTGGCGGCCACTCGCTGTAAATTCATGGATTCCCTCCGCCATCCACTCCATCCACCTCTTTCTAACACCATCTTTAAACGGCTTGTTTAAAGAGACATCCAGCGGCTGCAAGATCGAGGTTAATCCGCCAGGAATTACTGCTAAGTTCGTGTTTTCTCGTGTCAGTGCTGTTTTCACTCTTTCGGTCACGTGGGCTTCAAACGCGTCACAAACAAGCAGGCTTCTTCTTCTCCCCAGGCCACCTCTCCTCGAACACCAAACTTTGTCGATCCATGTTTTCATTCCTTCACCGTCCATCCAACCTTTCTCTTGAGCGGCGATTACAACTCCGTGCTTGTTGGCAACCTTTGGGAGAGTTTTTCTTTTGAAGATTACCATCGGTCTCAGTTTGCTTCCATCGCCAGCACAGGTCAACACGACTGTAATGCGGTTCTTTTCATTACCCGTAGTACGAATCTTGATCGTTTTCTCTCCCGAGTTGTTGATGGTTCGATTTGGCGGCATGTCAAATGTTAGTGGCGTTTCGTCCATGTTAGCAATAACATGAAGAGGATAATTGTGCTCTTTGCGAAGATCGATAATGTAGCGGTGGAATCGCACGATTTTCTCCTCATAGTCATCTGGAAGCCGCTGGGCAAGAGTTGTCTTTTGGCGAAGAGACAAGCCATTACGCTTCATGAAACGCTGACACCAGTGGTTGCCTGCTTTAAACTGCCCTTGTGGAATCCCATATTTCTCGTTCTTTGCCATGTCGAGGGCCTTCAGCCTCACCAGCGATGGTAAAATGGCGAGACCATTGTTCCGTTTCTCTGTGATCCATTCGAGGAGACCAACCTCAAGTTCTGGCCATGCAGCTTTTTTGCCACGATTTGCTCGTTTCAACCGAGGCATCTTTTTCAAGTTTTCCTTGCTCTTCCGCCATAAGCGAACATTACTTTCAGATACTCCGAACTCTCTTTCAGCAGCGAGATTTCCATGCTGTTCGGCGAAATTGATGATTCGTAACTTATCTGACACTGTGTAACTTTGACGCTTGGTTCCGGCGAGTTTTGTAGTCATGTTTACGTTTGATTGCTCAAGATTACAGTAACTGTTTTGTTGATCAGCTGTTCGCTTAAATACTTAGTTAAATTTATTCAAGGATCCAAATTGTTAACATGTCATTGGTAGGTTAGTTTACCCTCAAATTAAAGACCAATTACATCGCACGCTTATGTGTCTTTGTTATTCTAATGTCGCGTCAGCCTAAACAAAGGATTCCGTGTATAATACGCATCTCGAATTTAGGTGTTCATTTCGGGAAAAATAAGTTCGCATTATACACGGGTAAATACGGTAATTTCCACTGAAAGTTGCCAGAATGAATTCCATGACCCATGAATTTCTTTAAAAGCCTACTTTCATGATCCATTAATGTCCCCTAAAAGTCACCAGAACAAATTTCAAGACCCACAAATTTCTTTTTAAAAGCCTACCTTCAAGACCCATGAATTTCTTTTAAGTCTTCTTTCATGACCCATTTGTTTCCTCAGAAAGTAACCAGAACTAATTTCAAGCCCCATGAATGGTAATCAAATAATTCCAAGAAATTCTCAATACCTTGAATGTAAAGGTTTTAAGACAAGGAGTAATTTTAGAGGCTTAAAACTTTGTTTGGATAAAAGTATGCTATACAAAATGTACCAAGAGATATACATACATGTATATGTTTATCATGAAATTTATTATTCAGACTAAGTTTTTGTAAATCTTAACATGAATAGGCATTTTTTCATAAAGTAGAAGTCAACTTTGTTGATTGCAAATTGTCAATCATGAATTTGCCTTCTAACTTCAAAGGTCTCTTGGATCCCATAATCATGCATAAAAGTTTTTGTTGTGATGCAAAATGTCTCATGTCTACAGATGTGCCAGAATCATAAAACATAAACATAATCATATTCATAAACATGGGTACGCTTCGGAATGTGCACATCCATTTGCAGGCGAGAATTCCAACGTACCATAGTCGCTTCCTTCTCTTGTACAAATGTTTCTTCGTTATGAGACACACTTGACTCTGTTGGCACCACTTCTAGTTCAGTGGAAGCGAAAAACCAAGGAATCGAGATGGTTGTGTTGGGACGTGTTGCTGAACGCTTGTTACGACCAAACTTTGTTGATTTGGATAATTGTACACTACAATCATCTAGGTATCTCTTATACTTCTAAGGTGGTATTCATCTGTTAAATTAATGAGGGTAAAACACGTTTGTAATCACATTCAAACTTGCGATTGGCTTGTGTTATTTCTCACCTTTGCCGTGAACACAACTCGAGTCAGGGTTTCAAGTCTTTGTTTCCTCGACAAATTTTGGCCACAAATCGTTCATTTGTAGTACGTTCGATTCTTCTCGGTTATTTCTGCATAGAGTGAGTTCCCATCATTATTTATATCATCTTCAAAAGATGGATCCAAGGATAATCCATCGTCCAAACGCAGCTAACCGTTCCGAAAAGTCAAAATGAGACAGCTAACTACTCTCGAGACTGCAATACGGCAAGCCAGCGGACTCTCTTCATTAGCCAATGACAATTTTCAAAATATCCACGTGATCATACCCGTGACCGGAAACAAACAAACTTTCATTTGGCGCTGATCTTTGAATGTACTTTACATCGGTTGATAGCTCGTGCGATAAGCTATTTCCTTTCTCGACTGTTTTGCTTAATAGAACGTCTCTGAAGATGGGTTTTACCGTTGTTCAATAGGAAAACGAGAACAGCGTGAGTGGTGTAAATGAAAAGCAAGTCGATAGCACCGTGGAGTGAAAAGAAGGGACAACAGTTCACATATCGACTGGCCGGCACCATAGTTAGAAGAGGGAGCTCTAACCAGCTCCCTCTACTAACTATGCCGGCACACTGGTCAAGCGGCATTTATAAAGCTACGATTTTGAAAGCTTGTGGTGAGTACAAATTGCAATATTCTGTACGTGATCAAAACTGAGAATCGAATCGGTCACTTGCATTCCACAATTTCTTAAGCTTACACTTTACAATGAAGTAAATCTATCAGTAAGCTGAAGGTTTCAGGATTATTTTAGTCACGTTTGACAAGCTGCCAGCCTAGCAAAAAAAGACAAACAGCTGCTTAGTCTGCAGTTTATGATAACTTTATTACAATTTATTGTTACAGTTACAACAAGATTTAATTAAGAAATCAACTGTAATTAAGCCTTTCACTACCAAGAGTGTTAAGTCAAAATTGAGTTGAAATCTTTGAATCTCTATTTGCAGAATCAACAAAAACAAATAGTATAACATGAAATTGCTGCTTGACAGCTTACATTTGAATTTATATATTTTTTTTATTTTTTTATTTATATTTTTTTTTTTATATTTATATACATTGATCGAGCCCGTTTCGTGTTCAAAATTGGCGGCCGCAATATTCAGTAAATTACATAAGCTCTCGCCTTCGGCATTCCAGGCCGTGTTTCGGAGAATATATTGTATAAAGTGATGTCGGCCGCAATTTGGTAAATTTAACTTTAGTCAGTTTAGTCTTCGAAATTACCGGCCGCCATTCGGTAAATATTTATTCACCTTTACCGTAATAGAAATGAAAAATTTTTTTTTTTGCTTTAGAAAAACTATAAGCTTTCGCATACCTTCACATCTGATCTAGTCAAACGAACAGTGAAATTTGACCCTTATAGTGATTGATCCGCTGATGAGCGAACTTCAATTTTTTTGTTCTAAACTCGTCTTGTGATTGGCTAAAAAATGTTGGGTGGCCCCGGTTGAGTTCGTGTCACTATAACTTTCCTGTGCCATGAAAATACCATGGAGAGGCCATGAAAATTCAGGGAAAATTTTCAGGGTCAATGAATTTTTTACATACTCACAGGATATTCATGGGTCATGATTTGCTGCAACCCATTAAAACCTCATGAATTTTAACACCATGAACTTTTTTGACATGAAATTCATGGGTTTTTCAGTGCCTCTGGAAAGGCCATGAAATGCCATTTTCATGGGTATGTCATGGCTTCTAGGTCACCTTACACAACATTTCATAGGTCATGAATTTTAAAATTTTTCACAGGTTTTTCATGGGATTTTTCATGTCTTTTTCGTCGCACTGAGACCAAGTAGATCTAAGCTTTGGTAGCCAATCTACAAAAAGTTTGATGAGGGACAAGTACCACATAATATCAGTGACAATATAGCTCATCTACTTTTAATTCCTTTAATTCATAACAGGCATTTAAAAAATAAACATGACTAGGAGATAGCAGTAGCATTCCTTCCAACTTCATTGTAACCAAATACGCAGGGAATGTTGAATATCTGATTCATTTGTTTGCATATTTTGTGTTTATTGTATATTTGTTTTTCCCTTGACTTTAAAGTTTCTTTTGATTATTATCACTGATTTGTCTTGCTCTCCTCTTCGCTTTTTTTTCCTTTACTTTTGTTCCATGTCAGAGATGTTCATCAACCTCTGTCACAAATGCGTTTAAGTCTTTCTGTGTCCCTTGGAGCTGGACAAATGATCTTTCTCGCTGGGATAAACACCCCAGAAAACATGGTAAGTTGCATGTTCCCACATTCACTGATGAAATTGTCTTTTTTCGCAGCTGGAGAATGTACTTTTGTGTCCTTGCTTGCTTTCTTGCAGGCTGCCTGTATCACAGCAGCAGCTCTTATGAAGTATTTCCTGGTGGCCGCTTTCTGTTGGATGCTGGTCGAGGGGATTTATCTCTACCTGTTTGTTGTAAAGGTGTACAATATCAACACCAAGATGCACATGTATCACGTCATGTCATGGGTATTTATGAATATTTACCGCCTTATTTGGCACATGATTCCCCGACATACACTGCATTCTTCTTTCTCTCTATTTGAAGGCCTTCCTATCGTCATAATTTGCACTTCACTGGGCATTGCTTCTGGAAAAGAAGGACTCCAAATGATAAATAGTAAGTAATAAATAGTAAGGAACTGATTAGCTTCTGCCAGGGATTGCAGACTGTTTGAAAGAGGTACCGTTTCATTGGCAGGAAATATTCTTTCGCTGCTCGTTTTTCTTTCCTTTTCTCAAGTTGCTGGTTGTCTTCGACTAATAAGCTGATCTGGATTTTTGTGACATTTGTGATGTTTATCGATTCAGTAAGTTTATGATTGATTTATGTCAAATGTTTACTTTTGATTCGTATATTCGGACTTCTTATTTATTCCAAATTGCACGAGAAAATTAGGTGACTATGTATTAATAATATACTTGAAAAAATACGAGGTAGCCTCTCATATATAACTACGCAGAAGAAAAGCGCGCGTGCAAAAATTATTTATTCAAACCCGGCAAGTGACCTTGACATTTATCAATCTTTCTGACCAATCAGAATGTCTGGTTTGTTTCTTTCTTTGCCCTGAATTAACTCTCTTCTGCACTGAATTAACTGAAAACTGCATTCATCTTAACTAATCAAAACTGAGACATTTTTTCATGTATATTATTAGAAAAGTAAATGAATGAATAATTAAAAATTTAAAGTGAATCTCCACATTTTTTCAAACGCACTTTTTAATAGATCTGGCACAAAAAAATTTCCAAAGAAGGTTCTAGCTGCCACTTCGAGTTTCCCGCGAATAGAGCGCAATGCACCCTGGGCTGAAAGCGTGTAACGGTTGCTCGGTGCACTCGCGGTGTAGGTTTTTCGCTCTTGCTGATGCCACGTATATTGCTGTCATCTAAAAAGCATCTGGTGAATACGTCACAGATCGTCCTCATGGAGTGTTCGATCGGTGGTCGACAATTTAGAAATCAAAACCTGACGCACCGCAATATACTCCATCTTCGACTTCACTTTCCTGTCTCCCATGACATGGAGAGTGCTCCGGCTCTAATCTCAGAGGCAGCATTATATACCACTGTACTCTAAAACCCTTTCAACTGTGTTCAGATATATCCTTAAATGATAACCGTGTATCACGTGCATTGTTACCAAGTTACGTATTCCTGAGTTATATGTTCCGCACGCCAGGTTTTGCATTTAGCTGCCCTCAAGCTTCTTGACCCACATTTTCCCTTCCCAACCCCTACCCCTCATGTTTATCTTGTCTTCAGTTTTCTGACCCTTTAACGGTCGATGGTCAAAACCATTAAAAGCTTCACATAGAACTCGTGATCTCAAAAAGTTGAGAAGATAATCCCTGATCTGTAGAATTCTATGATAGAATTGCATTATTATAATTGCTTAGATGTATTACCAGAAAGGTCCCTCCGGCAACTACAGCGCGGTGCCTGAGTTTTTATGATCGATAGATCGATGGTAAATTAAAATGCATAGTAAATTTCGTCCTGGCGTTACGTCGTCACAACGATAAATCGTAGAGCGCCCAATACATCGTCACCAAAATAGTACTCTAGTTAATTTGAAATATCTGATTCCCGCAATTTGTCGCAGAGCCAGGGATACGTCAAAATCGATTCGATACTTACACTACCAATACACGCACCACCACCAGTTCGAGAGCAAAACTGATAACGGCCTTTTCTGAATAATACGTTATGATTTCATTTCTCTTTCTAAAATGCATGCAATCTCTCATTGCTTCATCGGTAATATTCATATTCATATTGGAGATGTCTATCTTTATGCTGATGACACTACCTTATCTTTTCTAGTGAGAGTGTAGATGTATTTTTTTATGGCACGTAACATTATGGTTGACAATTGCTAAATTGGAGCAAAAATAATCAACTCACAATACATCCAATCAAAACTGAAGCATTGCTAATTAGGAATATCCTTTCATTGGACCATTTTGGATTTAATAGTCTGAACATGTTTCTCTAGTCAGAGATTATTTTGTGCAAAAGGTTAAAGCAATAAAACCAATGAAGTATCTACCTGTAAATACTTTGGAAGAGATGTTTTTTCCTCTTTGGAATCGATACATCCGAAAGCAGCGAGAATTATTTTCAACCTTGATTTGTCTATTTCTGATGTTAAATGTCTTTTGAATTCTCCGCTACGACCCATCACCAGCTCTATCAACTGTCCTACTTACCAAGTGTCTAAACATCTAGCTTCTATCCTGAGCCCTTTACGAAACAACAAGTACACTGGTACGAACAGCTGCGATTTTGTGAAAAAAAGTCTCGGTTTGTAACATCACCACGCGGGAAACTATGTTATCTTTCGATGTGGTATCCCTCTTCACATCTATACCAACAGCTTTGGCGTTCGAGGTGACTAAAAACAAACTTCAAACTGATCCGACCACCTCGGAAAGAACAACCATGTCTTTTGACAGCATCATGAATTTTCTTGAATTTGTACTTGATAACAACTACTTCGTCCTTGATGGCACTTTCTACAAACAAGTATTTGGCTGCCCAATGGGCTCACCTATGAGCGCAATTTTGGCAAATTTGGTTATGGAACACAGCGACGAGAGAGCTTTAGTCGCCACACCCCACCCTGCTAAGTGGTGGTATAGATATGTTGACGATAG